TTAGCGATTAAAAGCTCATTGCCACTCAAAAAGCTTTACCTAATTCTTCACCCTATACCTTACAGTATGCAGAGCATAGCCAACGTCTGGTGGATGTCTTGTATGTACCAAGTAATAAGGATAATAATATATATAAGCAACCCAGAAGTGATCCCGATGAGACAGCGTAGAAAGATTTCTGGAAAGGTGCACCAGTGCAGAATGGTCTTCTTGGCAGGATTTCGATTCCTTTTATTTGGGGTCATAGCAGATTCCTGCCAAGACGATTAATCTCGATCTGCACTACCGATGCTTGCTTGCATGCATCGTAGAGATCTTGAAGGTTTTATGGCAAGCCAAAAAATGAAGTACAACGTAGGAGAAAAAATTTCCTCGTCACATTTGTTTCCCGAAGTAAAAAGGACAGTCGATGCAGATCGAGCTGCAGAAGGTGGAAGGCTTGGGAATGCACGTGAGTGAATTCTCATGCAAATTCTGACATTCGAATGAGATCGTTACAATTGAAAGAACGCATGGGTGTATCTCCAAAAGAAAGCTGGAGATGAGGACTTTTGAAGATGATCACTTTCTTTCTGTAGAGGACAGGTAGCTCGAGTCCAAGAGAACTACAAATCTATGAAAATCGAAACGCACAGCTAAAAAGAGAGACGATAAAGGGGTGTTTGAAAAGGACGGACCCGCAGCGCTGGCTAGAGCGTAGTGAGCTAGGAAGAACATCCTAAGTGTTGTGCTGGCGATGTTTGGTCATCCATTCAATCTAGTATACATGTTTTTGCTTTCCAGATTGTAGAGTACCCAATCTTAAATGGCAGTAGAAAAGGTCATTCACGAATTCAATAGTAAATCAGCCTTTCAGTAACGTTGTGCATAGGAGAGCATTCGGAGCTACTCAATACACGCAATTACAGCAGGGAACTATGCGATTCCAGCTAATTCTCGGAACCGCCCTGTAAAGGTCTTTCAGATAATCATTTTCTCGAACTGGGTGAGGTTGATTCGGGAAATCTTTTGCACTAGTCAATCTTTTTGTCCTCTCAGTCTGTCGCAGCTGCGTTCAGCAGTTGAGTAATTGATCTGGAGGTTGTCCAGTAAAGAAAAAAGCATTGCGAACGTGGTTGTGTTGTGGCTCAATTATTTATTTGTTTTGTATAGCTGCTGCTTAATTAATGTACTACGATGTGATAGATTAGCGTGAGATTAGCAACAGAATGATCCTATATAACTAAGTGTGTTTGTTGGTTTGTTGGTGTGTGTATCTGTGTGTATGTATGTGTTCGTGTGTGTACCTTTGTATATGCCTAAGCAGAAATTCACAATTTCTCTCTTCCTTCATGCTAAGTTTAACATGAAAAAGATTTGAGTACGGCTCGAGCCTGGCGATCGGGATGGTTACATATAAATAAAAATATGCTGGGGTGTAAATAAGGCCAAAGGCTATAAACAACTCGGCACTAGTGAAAATGAATAACGAAGTGATAGGATAAGTGAAGCTAGGAATAAAAGATGAACGTAGGAGCAGCTGTAGAAAGAAATACATAAAAAGGATTCATGAGGTCAGTTTTACCTCACAGAGCTACGCATCTTTCGGGAATGGGCTAAGCCGCAGAAACGCTTTCGAAGATGATATACGGTCCACTGAGACCACTCAATTTTTTTTCAAAATTAGTAAGCGGTTATACGACAGCAGAGAACGAACTATTGGTGAGAAAACAGTGAACAGCTCGTTCCTCGCTTTCACGACTTGCTACTGCTTTTTTCTATGAAAAGTAGTGAGAAGTAGCTAAAACAACAAAAATCCTTACCAATTAGTGAGAAGCCACGAGAAAGCATCGAATCCCAAGCAATTGAGACGTGAGCGACAACTGAGAGCATGCAAAAACAATTTAGCGTGCCAGACGCCTGTCCTTTATTTCACCAACAATACCCAAAGTCCTATAACATTCCATCTCAGACTGGGCCTTCCCTCTCAGA